GTAGTTGGTACGTCTCAGGCCGGGCAGCTCCCTGGGGCGCGGGTTGGTTCCGCCCGGAGCGTCCCGCGCCTGCGCCGGGCCAGGGCCGCGGACCGGCTTGTGCTTTTTCACACAGCCTCGGCTTTCTGAGGAGTTGCGGCCGCTCGCGACCCCCAGCGTTCGGGAGGTGCTGGGCGCCGCCGGTGAGTACCTTCCCTGCACGCTGCCTACTTCTCGGCCGCCTGTTCCCGCCCTCTGCCCGGCGGCGTCCGCTTTCCCCGAGCGCTTGGTGACGCGGAGTAGGCCTCTGGGGACGTGGAGCGGGGTTATACCCCGCCGGTGCCCGTGGCCACTTCGGAGGGCGGCCTACGACCCGCCCGGCGCCCCGGGAAGGGCGGTGCTGCTCTCCGAGCTGGCTGAGTCTCGGAACCGCCGAGGGACTCCGGGCCTGGCCCAGCTCCCACCCCGATACTCTGTACTTTGCTTGTCCAGTGGTACTTGGTGGCACCCGCTCTTTGCCTGAAAGCCTCCGTCTCCACTGCTGTCTCGCTGTGTGGACCAGACTGGCTTTGAACTCACTGTGTACCCATCCTCTTGCCTCAGCTTCCCGGAAGAGAGTCTCCCTGGAAGTCCTAATCGTGTGTCCCCATCTTGAGTGGAGCTGGTGCTGTCCCAGCGCACTCTGCCAGGCAGGGCTTCAGGTCTCACCCGCACCCGGAGAGGGAGCTGGGTGTGAATCCAGAGCCTGCCGCCGCTGTGCTTGCATTTAGTCACAGTATCATATTGAGATAGAAGCAACATGGAGGAAAGAGGGCCGAACAGTCACGCTTCTGTCCCCTTACTTTTCCTGTCAGGGACGACACTGCTTTGTATTTAATCAAGGAAAGTCTGTTTTTAGAATCAGATGCCTTTTCATTTCCCAGCATGCCATCTATCAACTATTTTTGACTGTTTCCTCAGTGTTAGTATTACCTGCCACTTAAGAGTTACTTGGAAGAATAACCTCTCTCATGCGCTTGAGATACCCAGAACATTCTATCCATCGACTCAGTAAATGCCAACTATTGGCCAAAGGGTGTTTGAAGTCTTGTTTATTTGTGCGTGTGCATGAGTGGTGCGTTTACGTCTGTGTATGTGTATGTATTGTGGAGCCCTCCATCCTCAGGCTCTTTGGGACCCATGGCTTTCCACCTTACTCATTGAGGCAAGGTCTCTCAGTTGAACCCAGAACTTACTGATAGGCAGCTTTAGCCAGCTGGCTGCAGGATTCCGACTCCAACTTCTGCCAACTGAAATTCCAAGCTTGCACTCAGCATTTACTGGGATCTGGAGGTCCAAATGCCAGTCCTTGCTTCCTGTTTTATCTATAAGCCATCTTCCTAGTATTTGTTAAATACTTGTCTTAAACTGAGTCTGAGCATAAGCTGGGAAGCAAAGTGTGTGTGTTGTTTATAAGAATGCACCCCCCACCGAAAAATAATCAAGTAATCAGGCTTATTGTAATCAGTTGATGAAGGAAGATCTTGGCATCAAGTTCGTCCCTCTCCCCTCCCCTTGCCTCCTCCTCCTGTGCTGGTGAACAAACTGAAAAGCCTTGTGCATATATGATCTACTTGCCTCTGCCTCCTGAGTACTGGGATTAAAGGTGTGTGCCACTATTCCCAACTTTAAATTTTTTTTAATTACGTTTATTATTTTTTGTGTGTAAAGTTGATTTTCTCCTTCTACTTAGTGGGTCCTGGGATCAAACTCAGGTCACCAGGCTTGTTTGGCAAGTACTTTATCACATTGAGCCATATCATAGACTCTGTTGTTCTTAAGATCCCTTGTGCTCAAGCTTTGAAAGCTGTTGACAAGTTTAGTACCTAGAATGTCAAAACTTAAAAAAAAAGTTTTTGTTTTTGAGACAGAGTCTCCCTGTAATCCCAGCTGGCCAAGAACTCACTATATAGGCCACGCTGGCCTTGATTGCATACAGACCCACCCTTCTCTGCCTCCTAAGTGCTGGGATTAAAGGTATGTGCCACCATGCCGGACCTATGGATCATGGAGCTTTAAGACTGGAAAAACTGTTGAGTGCTCAGAGCTTAATAAGCTATTGTGGGAACTTGGAAGGTAATGCTGAAAGAAAGCTTTACATTTTTAGTTCATTAGCTGCATGATTTTGGAAGATTCCCCTTATCAGACTGAAGCATCAGTTTTTGCTTCTGTTAAATTTTGGAGACAGTCTTTCTGTGTTGGCCAGGTTGGCTTCTACCTTCCAGTCCTTCTGTATTTGTCACCAGAGGTGTTGCAAGCTACTGCACTTGATTGAAAGTATTGGCATTTTTTTAAAAAAGATCTTTGGAGGCCGGGCGTGGTGGTGCACACCTTTTATCCCAGCACTGGGCAGGCAGAGGCAGATGGATCTCTGTGAGTTCGAGGCCAGCCTGATCTCCATAGTGAATTCAGGACAGCTGGGGCTACAGGAAGACCCTGTCTCAAAAAGACCAAAAAAAAAAAAAAAAGGATCTCTGGGGTAAACTTAATGTGTAGTTGAGGAAAGCAGTTGTGTAAGTTAATGTATAAGGGGAATCATGATAAATTATTGCTTTTAATGCTATTGAAATTTTTTACAAAAAAAAATTATTGAATTTTTGTGTAGTTCATACATAAAATCATCTTTATACCCCCCTTTCGCCTTCCCCTTTGACACCCTCCCATAGCCCCGAGTTCATACATTCTGTCATTTGTATTAAGGCCTATTATGTAAAGTTAGTGTCCGGAGATGTCCTTCAGTGCAGGTTCATCCACTGGGGTTTAGTCAGCCCCCTTCAAGAAGATAATTCCTCACTCAGTAATCAGCTGCCAGTAAATCTTCGACTAAGCCTGGGGCTTGGCTCGGTGTGGTGGCACACACCTTTAATCCTAGCACTCAGGAGGCAGAGGTAGGCGGATCTCTGAGAGTTCAAGGCCAGCCTGGTCTGGTCTACATAGTGAGTTTTAGAGGACAGCTGGAGCTACAGGGAGACCCTGTCTCAAAAAGACCAAAAAAAAAAAAAAAGTTTGGGGCTTGTTGTTCATTTCCATAGTTGTGCTGGGTTTTTGTCTGCCTAAGTTTGCATGGATCTTGTGCATGCTGACATCATTGCTATAGGTTTGTATGAGAAGGGTTCCAGGTGCCTATAGGACTGACTACCAGTGTGGTCATGCACCTCCTCCCTGGCTCTTACAATCTTTTTGCTCCCTCTTCCACAATGGTCCCAGAGCCCTGGGTGGGTGGACCTCAGTATAGGAGTCCTGTCCAAGGACCACACTCTGCCCACTCTTATTCTCTGCATTTTGGCCATTTGTGGACTTTTGTGTTCCTGGCCCTCTGTTGAATGAGGGAGCTTCATTGATGAGAATTGAAAGCTGCATTAGTGTTCTCTTCATCCCTTGTTCTATGTTTCATGAGTCTTAGGTGTAGAAGTTGCATCCTAGATGTGCCACTTAGGCTTGGGCAATTCACAGAGAGTCTCTGTGTGTTACCAGTGGTGTAACTGTAATAATCTCTGTCTGTTGAAAAAGAAGCTACTTTGATGGGTGGTGACTGGGATACTTGTCTCTAAATTTAAGGATCCATATTTTCCCGATAGTAAGAAATAACATTTGTCTAGGGGTATGAGAGCCTTGGGGTTTCTCTAAGATCTATGACCTCTCCAGCTATGTATATTTGGCTAGGTTTACAGTACCAGACATGAGTTACCTCCCATTGCGTGGGCTTTAAGTCCAATTAAGTAGCTGTTGATTACCTCCAAGATAAAAGTGCCACTACTGCACCAATGTTGTTTGCTGTGCTGGTCATTGATGATGTGTTTAGGCCTTGAAACTAGGGTTGGACTGTTGATTGATGTACCAGCTTGGGTAATGCTCTCCAAAACTATGAGAGCTAGTCTTCAGGGGAGGTGGCTTCTAGGTCAGTTCCAGCTCCATTGCTTCAAATCCTGTGTTCAAAGTATGTCCTGTCTTCAGTTGTAGGGTCTTACCATGAAGTTCTGAAAGTCAATCAAGGACTGTGGCAATAGCCTGTGTAATTTTGGGAGTTTCTTGGACTATCCTGGACAACTCAAAGGAAGGTTTCTCCTGTCTGGCACTGTTTCTTTATATATAACCTTCAGCTATACTTATGGACTCATGTAGAGATATTGTATGTATAATTTTTTAGTAGGTTTTTGGGCTAATATTATTCTTTTTTTTTTTCAAGAAAGAAAGTGAAGAGCAGCACTTTATTTGAAGTTGGAAGAAGCTCAATGTCAAGACTTTCACATGCACATGCACACATGTGTACACACACCTGCATATATATACACATGCTCACACATTTACACATGTGTGTTGATACGTGTACATACATACACATATGTATGCCACACACATAGACATTAGAATTCTGGGAAGGAATATTATCTTTCCTCTCATTTTCCCCATACAGCAGGACCCACGGAGGTCAGAAGAGGGCACTGGATTCCCAGGAAGTGGTGTTTTAGAAGGTTGTTAGTCACTATGTGGGTGCTGGGAACTGAACCTGGGTTCTCTGCAAGAGCAGTCAGTGCTCTTAACCCCTGAGTCATCTGTTCAGCCCTGACAGCCCAATTTTAAAAGGGCAAAGGCTCTAAAGAGACATTTCTTAATTTTTTAAAAAAGTAAAAGAGGCAATTGGGGTACACCTTCATTGGGTCTATCTAAAAGACTCCCAAATTGCATAACTATTAACTATAGGGAAAAAAGAAGTCCTTGACTGGTGCCTAGGCGATGCGAAGGATAAGTAAAAGCAAGAATAGTTTGCATTACAAGTTCTAGACAGGGAACCAGAAAACAGTCAGGACAGGGCAAATTCAAATGTCCAAATCAAAGTCCACTGGAATTTCTTGATGAGGGCTTCCAAAAGCATCCACCTATTGGGTTCCTCCTCATCTTCCTTTGGGTTGACAAGGCTGGACTCGAGAGTGAACTCAGGATTTGTTTTCAGGCACTTTGACAGATATTCAAGTAGCTAGAATCAATGTCAGTTCCTTCTCAAATGCTTCTAGATAGAGAGAGAAAACAAATTTAGCCATCATTTAGCTTTTAGGCTAGAACAATAGCTGGCTGTCTCCCTCAGCTGCAGGTGGGCACTACAGAACTGCAGGCCAAGATTTGAAGTCTTACATCTGAGTAGCATTGTCTTATTAGAAACAGACTCATACTTTAATCTTTGGTTATACTTTCCTTTTGGGTGTTTAAGACCATACAGTTGGCCCAAATAAATCAATTTATTTTTACACTTAAGGTCATTTGAGAATCTGTTCCTCAGGGGTCACATGGGCTTGGGAGGAGCTCCTGGCCCCTTTGTTTTATCAGTTCCATCCATGTGACGATAAGTCAAAGGTCCTGCTCGCCTGTGGCTGGCTTCACTTGGAAGCATGAATGAGATGTTTCCTCTGAGTTGAGCCTCCTCTTTGTAGACTGGACACTGATTCAAATCCATCTCATGGGATCTCCATGGCCTCCCTGAACAAGAGAACAGGTGAATTCATTGGTTCTTCAGGCTTTCATAGTTTGCATTGAAAAGTCAGCGGTAATTCTGATGGACTTTCCTTTGTATGTGACTTGTTTTTTTTTTTTCTGCTTTCAGTATTCTCTCTTTGTTCTCTACACTTAGTGTTTTTACTATGATATGCTGTATGGAGTTTCTTTTCTGGTTCTGTCTATTTGGTGTTCTGTGTGCTTCCTGTATTTGTATGAGGATGTTTTTCCTTAATTTCGGGAAATTCTCTTGTATAATCCTGTTTAAGATCTGGCCAACACCATTAACCTGAAATTTGTCTCCTTCCTCTAGTCCTATGAGCCATAGATTTGGTCTTTTCATGGTGTCCCACATCTCTTGCATATTCCATTCCTGTGTTTTTAAAAAATTTTCTATAATCTTTGCTTGAGTGGTCCAATTCTTCAACTTTATCCTCCTGTTTTGATATTATGCTTTCCATTTCATTCATTCTAGCAGTGATGCTTTCCCCTGTTGTTTTATGTTGGCTTGTTGAGTTCTGTATTTCCTTCTTCATTTCTGCCTGAGTTTTCTTCAATGTTTCTAACTCTTTTGTGAATTCATTCAGAAGTTTATCCCTATCTTCTTTTAGCTCTTTTGATTTGTTTGTTTTTGTATTCTTTAAATTTGTTGAATTCCTTGATCATGTTTATGATTGTTCTTTTAAATTCAGTGTCCTGAGTTATCTCTAGGGGGTTCTCCTTGTAGAACTGTTCTACAGGATTGGTGGAGTTTGGTGGGGACATAGTGTTTTGGCTTTCCATTTTATTATTTGTTCATTGTGATTTTGTCATGTGAATTTCTTTTGGTGTTTATGATTCTGATATGAGAATTAAGTTGACGTATGCTTCTGTTTGTATTATCCGGGTACCTAGATCCTTTCTTTATTGGTTATGTAAAGCTGGTTGGTACAGGGTTCAGATTCTCTCAGGTTTAATTTGGAGGGCTTCAGATCAGCTATTGAGGAGTACCCACAGAGGCTTAATTCAGGTTCCAGTCAGGTACACTCAGGCTTCCTTCACCGTGTGGAGGCAGGATCCGGGGGCTCTCAGGCAGTCCCCTGTGTTCTCAGGCCCTCTGCCTGAGGGAGGCCAGAGGGAGGCCAGGACTGGGCACTCTCTGGTGGTCTGCTGAGATTAGAGCCCCTGCATGGATGGAGGGCTAAACCCACCCTCCGAGGCTGTCTTCCAGCATCTCCTGGCACTGTTTCTTGTTACATAGTCTTCAGCTATACTCACAGACTCATGTAGCGATGTTGTATGTGTAATTTTTCAGTAGGTTTTTGAAATAATACTATTCCCTCTAGTTTTTTTATACTAGCTAGGCACTATTTATCTCCCCACTTTCCCTCCCTGTCTTATTTCATCACAGAGGTGAGATTTGTATGTATGTATGTATGTATGTATGTATGTATGTATGTGTGTGTATGTGTGTGTGTTTATGCATGTGTCCACCACCCATATATATTTGGATATCATACATATATAGTATATTCCTAAAATTTTTAATGAGAAGTGGAAAAATTCTAAAGTCTAGGTTTATTTCCTTCAGATGACAATCATTTTCTTTCATATGCCCAAATTGAATAATTTCTAGAAAAAAAACTTTGAGTAAATTATTTGAACTTATATTTCAGGCAAAAGGATGCCACGAAGAAAGAAAAAAATTAAAGAAGCCTCTGAATGTCAGAACTTGGAGAAGGATGCAGAAACTACCAGTTCTGTCAGTATGAAGAGGAAGCGTAGACCTGAGGATTTATTCATTGTGATATCTGATAGTGATGGAGAGGTCAGTATTCTGAAATAGAGTCATAGATCTTAAATTAGGCCTCTTTACCCACAGTAGTTTGTTTTGACTCTACCTTTATGCTAGTTTTCAAAGGTCATGCAAATTTTTCTTTTCTTTTTTATTTGTAAGTAGAATTATGGATTACTTCAAAGAAAGTAATCATGCTATTTGGCTGATTATAGTTTTTTCATATTATAATATGTTAACCCAATGTAATATTTTAGAACTATTAGAATAAGCAAAATCAATTACAAACCATAATTTTTATGTATTTGCAATGTAAGAGAAAATGTGAATGCAGAATGGTGTGGAGCCCAGAGCTTTGTGCATGCTCGGCAGGCACTGTACCAACTGAGGTTCGTCCCCAGCCCAGAAATTTACATTATCGTAGAAATATTTTTTTTTTTTTTCTTTTCTGGTCTTTTTGAGACAGGGTCTCTCTGTAGCCCCAGCTGTCCTGGAACTCTCTATGTAGACCAGGCTGGCCTTGAACTCACAGAGATCAGTCTGCCTCTGCCTCCCAAGTACTGGGATTAAAAGTGTGTGCCACTACACCTGGCTGTAGAAAGATTTTTAGGACAGAGATTCTCTAGTCTTAGCCCTTCTCCTTTTTTTACTATTTCCATATATTTTAAGTGTTTTTTTTTTTTTTTTTTTTTTTTTTTTCTTTTTTGCTTGTGTGGTTCATACCCAGTAAGTAATGAATCAAGTCATGTGCCACTCCCCAAATTTCTTTCTCTTTCCTATGTCCTTTATTTTACTTAATAGGGGAACCATTCATTTGTCTCAGAGTATAATACTCAGAATCACCTTTCTCTTTTTCATCTTTACACCAAGTCATCAAATAGTTTTGGTTTTTCCCTCTAAGGTTATACTCAGATTTGTCTTTTTCTATTTCCATTTCTTTGCCTGATCATCTGTTATTTAGGTTTTCATAGCAGACTCTTTAAAATGCCCTTTCTGCCTTCAGTTTTTCCTCCCTACATTTTACTTACTACAACTTGCTATTATTTATTTAACTATGTATTTGTGTGTGTGCACATGCATGCATGCATGCATATGTGCCCATTTGCACATATGGAGGCCATAGGAGGTTACTGGATATCCTACTCTATCATTCTCCACCTTATTCACTTGAGACAGGGTCTTTCACAAAACCTGGAGCTACACTTTACATAATTATTCCCTTCTGCTTTTCATCCCTAATGTAGATGATTTCTCTGTTTATCTTGATCAGTCTTAGCCACTTTTTACTTTCACAGATTTTATTTTGTTTCTTCTTGATTTGTATTTTTTCTTGTATTTATTTTTACTTTAATATCTTCATCTGATTGTTTTTTTTTAATTTTTGAATTTTATGTGTATCAGTGATTTGCCTGCATGTGAGTGCACTTGTGTCATGCAATGCTTGTGGAGGCCAGAAGAGGGTATCATATCCCCTAGAACTGGAGTTAGGGACAGTTGTTAGCTGCCATGTGGGTGCTGGGAACTAAACCTGGGTCTTCTGTATTATCTTTCAGGGCTCTTAAGCACTGAGCTCCCTTTCCAGTCCCACAGTTTTTCTTTGTTTTTTTTTTTTTTTTAAGGGAGATTGAATACAGGACTTTGTACATGCTAGCGAAGCAGAGTACCATTGAGCTATACCCCCAGCTCCTAATTTCTCTTTTAGTTTCTTCTTTAGTTAATGAGTTATGTAGGAGAAGCATGTTAGTTTCCAAATATTTGATGAGTTTCTAGTGATTTTTGTTAGTTTCCTAATTTAATTACATTAATGTACTTGAATCCTTTTTAAAGACTATTTTATTTATTATTTTTATTATTTTATGTTCACGAGTATTTTGCCGGCATGTGTGTAAATGCATGTGTGTTGTGCAGTGCCCACGGAGATCAGAACAGGGTGTTGGACTCCTTGGAACCAGAGTTACGGACAGTTGTTAGTTGCCATGTGGGTGCTGGGAACCAAACCCAGGTCCTCTGGGAGAGCAGCCAGTGCTTTTTTTTGGGGGGGGCGGTCATTTTGAGACAGGGTCTCCCTGTAACCCCAGCTGGCCTGGAACTCACTGTGTAGACCAGAGTGGCCTTGAATTCACAGAGATCCGCCTGCCTCTCTGCCTCCCATGTGCTACAGCCAGTGTTCTTAACTGCTGAGCCATCTCTCCAGCCCCTGAATCTTTTTAAAAAAATAGATTGAAACTTGGGTTATAGTATAGAATATCATTTTTTCTTGCTATATTTTTTTGTGTATTTAAGAAAAACGTACATATTAGGTAGTATTTTCTATAAGTGTCAGTTTAAGGAAGTTAGATGAGAGTATTCAAATCTACTGTGTCCTTACTCTGTTTTCTATTGTAGCTACTCTAGCTTCCTTTTTTCTTTAAACTTAATTTAAAAATTATTTTATAAAATTACATTTCATTCTATTTTTGGTGTGTGTAAATGGAGTAGGGGGTGAGGGATACATGTACCATTGCGATAGATGCCATAATATATGGTGCTTGAACAAGTCCAACTCTTAGAGTCATTTAAATCAGAAGTGAACATGACGTGTTCTCAGAACTGTTCCTATCTCATTTCTCTTGGAACTGTTCCTTCAACTAAACACATACTCTATTTATAATTTAAATAGAGTGGGAAAGAAATGAGGAGCTTTGTCTTACCAGGGAAGTTTGCCTTGTCTTTCCCCTACTGACCCAGAACAGCAAGCAAAACCACAAGCAGCTGTTATCAGTATAAGTCCATCTGTTGTTTGCAATATAAATTGTGGATGATTCATTATTTCTGAAAGTCACTGCTGCTTTCAGTGCTGAAATTTTCACAACATACATATACATTATTCTGGGCCAGGGGCAAGGAAGGATTGTGAGGAAGATACAGGGAGCATAAGACTACAGCTGTTTGTTTAGCTTAGCTTATAAAAGTTGATTATAACAGGATTCCGAGGCCTAGTAAGATTGTTTACATTATTTTCCTAAAGGCTAGATTTAAATAAGCAGATCATACAGTAGGAAGGCAGATTGAGTAGTGTTAAATGATCCCAAAGTGTGAGATTAGCTTTGGTTATAAGGTTAGGTAAGACTAAGCCATCCCTAGAAAAGTCATTACCACATGCTGTGGCACATATGTGGAGATCAGGGGACAACTAGAGGGTTGGTTCTCTTCTTCTACCATGTGGGTCTAGGGATCAAATTCAGATTCGTGGACTGGATGGAAAGTGCCTTTATCTGATGAACCATCTTGCTGCCCCCTCCCCCGAATAGAAAAATTCTTTAATCAAACCAATTTTATATTTCAATACTTACGACTTAACTAGAATAGTATCTGTCCAGTTTAAATTGCATTAAGTACAAAACACATGATGACCGGTATACAGAATATAATAGAATTTTTTGAAAACAGTAGATCCTGGCCAGGCGAGGTGGTGCATGCCTTTAATTCCAGCACTCAGGAGGCAGAGGCAGAGGCAGGTGGATCTCTGTGAAGTCAAGGCCAGCTTGGTCTACATAGTGAGTTCCAGGACAGCTTTGGCTACAGGGAGACCCTGTCTTAAAAAGACCAAAAAAACAAAACAAAAAAACCCCCAGTAGATCCTATTTATCATTGTAAGGCCTTCTATTTTATTTATTTTTATTTTATGTGTATGAGTGTTAATGCCTGCATGTATATAAGTGCACCCGTATTGTGCAGTGCTCACAGAGGACAGATGAGAACGTCGGATCCCCTGAACTGGAGTTACGAATGGTTGTTAGCTGCCATGTGGGTGCTGGGATTTGAACCTGGATCTTCTGCAAGAGTAACCAGTACTCTTAACTGCTGAGCCATCTCTCCAGCCCTTATAAGACCTCTTTTTTGGTCTTTTTGGGATAGGGTCTCCCTGTAGCACCAACAGCTGGCCTGGAACTCACTATGTAGACCAGGCTGACCTTGAACTCACAGAGATCTTCCTGCCTCTGCCCAGTGCTGTGACTAAAGGCATGTGCCACCATGCCCGGCTGGTAAGACTTTTTTTTTTGACTTTTTGAGACAGGGTCTCCCTGTAGTTCCAGCTGTTCTGGAACTTACTATGTAGACCAGGCTGGCCTTGAACTCACAAAGCTCCGCCTGCCTCTGCCTTCCAAGTGCTGGCATTAAAGGTGTGTGCCACCACGCCTGGCTTGTAAGACTTTTTAAAAGCAGAAAATTCAATTATTGAAATAATGTAAGGCTGAGGAAATAGCTCAGCTGGACATGCATGTTCACACAGGTTGTATATACATATACACACTAATAAAAGTTAAAAACGGGCTGGAGAGATAGCTCAGCAGTTAAGAACACTGACTGTTTTTGCAGAAGACCTGGGTTCGAATCTCAGGACCCACATGGCAGCTAACAACTGTCCTTAACTCCAGTTCCAGGGGATCCGACAGCCTCTTCTGTCCTCCGCGGGCATTGCATGACAGAGGTGCACTTACTTATATGCAGGCAATACATGTGTACATATTAAAAAAAAAAAAAAAAGGTAAAAACAAACTGATAGGTAAAAAGTTGCCAGAGAATGGATAGAGGAGGAAGCACCAAGACACAGATAAAACTCAGCAGGATAGAGCTTTATTTTGCACAGGACATGTTCCCTTTGAGGAAGGGAAAATGTCAACCCACAGATTGTGAGCTGGGGCTTATATATGGGGCCTTCGGGGTGCAGAAGGCGGGAAGTTTTTTTGGAAAAAATCAGGCGGCGGGGGGGAATGTAGGAAGAGCGGGGCTTGTAAACCTGTCTCCCTTCCATCTGCCAGCCGGGATCTGGGTCAGGAAGTGTTTATTTTTTGTCCTCTTAAGATAAGGGAAAAGCTGCTGTACTAAAGCGGCTCCTAAAATCTCTGGTTAACAGGCAGAATCTGCTTATCTTGTCTTGGGAGATCAAAGGAAAGACAGGCTGCCTCTTAGAAGAGTCTGCTTCCCTTGACTTCAAAGACCAAGGTACTTATCAACTCAGTTCCCTTTTCTCAGGAGCTTGAGCTGTCTGT